GAAGAGCAGAGTCAGGACTACTATCTGCCGCAGCAATCGGATGAAGAGTCGCTCTGACAGGCCAAGCCGAAGGCATCCAATAGAGGCCCCGTCTGAGGCGAGATGAGCTAGCCAGTGAAGAGTCTATTTACCAACAGACTTGCTGTGGAGAGTGATTAAACCCCACCTCTGGAGGCTTCTCCTGGCCTCTAGTACACTGGTCACTATCTCCAGGGCATAGCTAGACCCCCAAATCCACCCGTCAGACGGCAGGCTGCTGGCTTGTCCCATGGGCCAGAGCTCACAAGATGAGCAGTGAGACGCATGATCAAGGGAGCAAGCTTTGGCAGAATATCAATATATACTGGGTACAGGCCACACCCCAAAGACACCAACCACCTTTCCACTGACGGGCTGCTCCCATGAGATCACAAAGTAGACAGTGTTGCATCATGTCTGCCAAATGACGGAGAACCGTGGCCTAGTTGAGTTGATGCGTAACTTTAAGCAGCACACAGTTCACCCCTTGTCACCTGGGCACCTGCCCTCATCTCCTGGAGCCATCCATTCCCTCTGCATAAGGGCAACGATAGAGTCATTGCTTGCACTTGCACTCGACACCGTATAACACACAGACAACTGGAAATGCACCGGCACTGTGTGCATGCTACGTGCTATGAGAAAACAGAGACATGTATAATCGAGCGAGGAGGAAACACTCGTCACCATTACAGTCCTCGTTTCTACAGCTGGTCGGGCTGCTGGAAGTTGGCCCGACCTTACTGCATAGTCACCCAGTCCACACACCTCTTGCCCTCAGCAAGCACCAAGTTTCGCCACGGTTCTCTGCCTGGTGGGGTAACTTGAATTTTCACTCTGGAAGGGTCTGGGTCATCAATAGTCAGGCTGGCGCTGGGCAGGGACTTAATTAACTCAGAGACAGTGCGGGAGTGAAAAGCGAGCCAGAACTCCAAACCAGGGCGTCTTCAGGTCTCTACGTAACTTCCTCAAAGAGGGAACCTGGGCTTCACAAGCTCTTCGGGCCACATCAAATACCCCAAAGGCCACTTCTGCTTGGTGGAGTAAGGAGGCCCAGAGTAATCAACCAAAACACAGGCTTCATTTGGGACTGGAATTAAACTCGGACGGCACAAGGCCATCCTGCCCTCTATAGTAGGGTCCAGGCACCTTTAAATATATTTCGCTTTGTCCAAACAACTGACACACTGCAAGCAGGAGCACACTTTTTCTATAGAAGATGTTCACCAGCAGGTGTTTTCAAGCCCATGAAACAGCAACAGCTAGCACACGTTAATGACCAAGAGGGCCCAGACTTTGAACCACGCAGTGTTGGGGAAGAAGCCCGGATGGTGCAAAGGTTAAGTGCTCAGTCCCAGACCGGAAGGTTGGCGGTTAAAACCCACCCAAAAGACCAAGTGACTTGCTCCAGGAATGGTGGCAGCCAGGAGCGTCCAAGGGGGCCGTTCTACTCGGTCACCTGGGGTCTCAAAGATGGGTCAGAACTCAATTCAGTGACGCTAACAACAATCTAAACAACTGTGTCGGGGAAACAAATTCTCTCAAGGGATCCTGGGTATAAGGTACAGGACACAAGAGATGGTGGGGAGCCCCTGGGCTGGCCTAGCACCCCATTTGACAGGTGAGGAATGGGAACCACAGGGGTTCATCCGAGGGCCCACAGCAGTGCTGGGCCAGCGCTGGCTGCTGGGAGCCAGGACAGCGACAGGCCCTCCTGAATCACGTGGACGGAAGTTCCCGCAGCCACAGCAGGTGCAGAACATCTGGACAACATCTCCACAACTGCCAGCTCCAGCCCAACAATCCGCTCCCAGGGGAGCTAGCTGGCAGCTGGTTCTGCTCCTGGCACACAGTGCCGAATGGTTCGGTGAAACGGGCCCGCCACGCCAGACTACCCTGAGACCATCAGCCAGCCAGTGAGCGCTGCCATGGGACAAATGCCAGGTGCCGTGCACAGGACATGGCGGGTACAGAGAGGAGCAGGATGCGGTGACGAAACAGAATCGTTCATACTCATTAGACCCCGAAGGAGGGCGATGTTTCACCGGACACACTTCTCTAGTGTTTGGATTTCCAAATAAAAGTCAACCAGTTTCAACGTTGTGTTGGGGAGGCAGGGGTCTGGCAGTTAGATGTGGGGGTGCGGGGGTCGACGGCCTCATGTTCCAGTCCCAGAAGGACCTGAGACTCACCTCCGGCGCTTGCACTTCCCCCTCAGTAAACGGTCACAATGATCGTACCTGCTGCCTAAGGTCATGTGAGTCACAGGCGGGAATTAGGTGCCCTGAAGCTCCTAGGGGCCGATGGCCTGGCCTGGAGCAGGCTCCGGCCTCCCCTGCTCAGAACACATTTTTCCACACCCCCTCCAGCCTCCATTCAGAAGCCTCTGTTCTTTCTCCTTGAGACCATCCCTGGCTCCCACCCCGATTTATAACAGCAAACCTTTCATCTCCCCATACCCTGGGGCTTCATCTCCTTCCACTATGTATTTCTCTCCCTAAAAATTAAAAAACAAACAACCAACAACATTGTAGTCATGTCCATTCTAATGCATAGCAACCCTATAGGGCCGGGTAGACTGCCCCATATGGTTTCTGTGGATTCTGACTGCTGACCTTTTAGTGAAAGGTGAGTGCTTTAGCACTGTGCAACCAGGACTCCTTTCTCTCACCAGTACTAGCTTAACAATGTCATTCATTTCCAGCCTCGTACACCACACTGGAAGATGAAGCTTTCTACTGCCGTAAAGAGTTACAGCTTTGGAAACCCACAGGGGCGGTTCTACCCTGTCCTACAAGGTCACTTTTGAGTGGCCATCGACCCAATGGCAGTGGGTTTGGTTGGTTTGGGTTCCCTAACCCAAAGGTTGGCAGTTCGGACCCACCCAATGGGCCTAGGAACCTGACTGTGTAAAGATGCCCCCAAGGAGCCCCCGGCACACAGGCCTGTTCCCTGCAGCCAACACGTGAGCTAGGGCTGGGTCAGCTCCTATCAGCTCTGATTCACAATGTAGACCTGTGTCCCTGAGTCGATGCAACTACCATTCTGCTTAACAAGCTTGAGACTAAAAACCAGTTAAAGGTTTAAGGACTCACAATATTGCCAGCCAAGCATTAACACCCAAAGGGGAATCCATAGAGATGAGATAGTTCAGGGTAGGGCGGGGTTACATGCTTTGCAAATTGAAGGCAACACCCCAACCCCACAGTAAACTGACCGCTGACTGCCCAGCTTAGTGGGAGAGCTGGTCCTCTCAGACCCCAAGGGTGCTGTTCCGGGGCTCAAGTCATGGGCTCTTGAATCTCCAAGCACCTTGGGACAGAATCCTTCAGTCACAGGGACCAAAAGGACAGGCATGCCGCCCGGGGACCCCAAGGAAAGGGCAATAAAGCAGATATGGCAACAAAGCAAGTCTCGTGCAGTGTTTGGCTTCCCGGTGCATGTAAGAGCACTGTCCACATGATACTGTGATCTGTTAAAGGAGTCTTGGTGACAGCGTGGGTTAAGTGCAGGATGCCAACTGGTCAGAAGTTCCAAAAGAGAAGTTCACATGGAGAAAGCTAGGCTGTCAGCTCCCATCAAAATGATCAGTCTCAGACACCCTGCTGTCTTTTGGTCGCTATGCGGTTGGGGGCAGTCTGGTAAGTGGGCAATAGCATGAAAGAGCACGAGAATGACCACAATGCGACAGAGACCCAGAGCGAGTCCAAGAAAACGTGGCACCCATAGAGTTGCTCAGTACAGGGTTGCCACAAACAAACCTGTAATTTGTTTTTTTTAAAAACAATGCAGCGATCTTCAGAGCGCGATGAAACGAGGTGTGCCTGGGGACAGAGGAGTAAGCCAGCCACCTCCCCCTACGGGGCCTGTTCCGTCTCCTGTGTGTCTCCTCCATCATTCAGAGGTGCTGCCCCCGCAGGACAAGGGTCCCCCCGGCTCTCAGCCCTCCTGTGGAGAAACTGACACCCCAGAGGCCCAGAGGCCCAAGAGGAAAGCTCACAAGCCTCAGCCTCCTCTAAGAACAGGCTGCTTCTCTAGCCAGCCCTCCTAGGAGGCAGCCGCATCACCACGCAGCAGATGAACGCAGACTAGCTACCTTCTCGCTGCGTCCACACCCTGGGGTAGGGAAAGAGAGCTGAAGCCAGCAGTCTCCCAGAGTTTGTGGTTTTAAAAAGAGGGGGGGGGGAAACCTAAGCTAGACTTTTAGATAAGACCAACACTGAGCATCTTCCACGCAGGCTTCTGTGAGCCTGCCTCCGGTCAGCTGGTGGTGACGGGTATACCAAGGGGGTGAGGCAGCCGATCCACCCCCACACCGGGACCAGCTGCCATCTGTGAACTCGCCCCGGGGTTTCTGACTCAGTAGGTCTGTGGCAGAGCTCCAGAAGGTATTCTCCTAGCCAGCTAGCTCCCAGGTGAGGAGATTCTGCTGGTCCCGAGACCACAGTACCTGTCTGTGTACACACACACACACACACACACTAGGGAACGCTGCTCCAGCACACAGTACCTGTGTGTACACACACACACACACACACACACACACACACACACACACACACGCGAACCCTGCTCCAGCCACTGGACCTCCAACAGGTGTGCTTGGACAGCTACTGGCAGGACGCACAGGGGAATGGGGCCCTGAACCAGAGGCTCTCTCTCCTTCAGTGCCAACCTGCTCACCTGAAGCCTCTGCAATCCAAAGTCACAACACTTCCCTTTTTCGAGCGTGACTGTGGCCAGTCCCACCCTCCTTCATCCTTCACACATGGGCACCCCCAGCTGCAGGATCTGCTTTCTGTCCAGGGACGGTTTCGAGTTTCTGAATCAGAAAGCAGCCGCAGAAAAAGAGGAAGCCTATCCCTCCCACCTCAACAAATGTCAAACAAAACCACCCAGGTCCCTCGAGTTGAGCTGCAGCATCCCTGGTGGGGGCCCACCCATCACCCCACCCCAGGCCCCTCCAACAGCCTTTCACTCACCAAAGTAATCGGCCTTCGGGTGGGCATCCATCTCCCGCTCCAGGTGCTGGGTGAGGGCTTCTAGCTTCAATTCGGCAGCCGAGGGTCCAAGCTCAGGGCCAGAGGCATGGGTCTGGCAGGGAAGCCTCACCCTGGGGGGGCTGGGGCTCTCTGAGAGGACTGGCCCTGGGCTGCCGTCAGGGGACCAGGCAGCAAGACCCTCTTTACAAGCTAACTCAGATGAGGAGGGCATCCCTGGATGAACGAGGCTGGTGGGGCTGAGCTTGGGACCCGTGCCAGGCTCCTTGCAAGCGGGCTTCTGACCTAACCTAGAGACCACACCCATCTGCAAGCTGTCCCTGCCTGGGGATAATGGCACAGAACTAGAAAGGTAAGACTGGGGGCCATCCTGACACCAGGGCTGAGGGTCCACAGAGGGTTTGGCCACCACGCTCCCTCCCCCGGGGCTCCTTCTAAGAGCTCCTTGGCCGGTGCCACTCATAGTCAGAGGGGCTGAGAGAGAAGGGGCCCTGGGCTGAGCGGGCCCCAAGGGAGGCCCATTCTCTGGGCCTGGGGAGAAGTCAGAGGTCACCCGCTGCGAGGAGGAGGTGGACCAATGGCCCACTGGCTTCTCAGCACCACGGCCACCAATGCCACCATCACCCAGGCCGCTCTCAAATGACCTGGTGGAGCTCTGGGCCAGCTGTGGCTGATACAGGTGATGTTCCTGCCCAGAGGGTTTGGGCAGTGATGGGTCGCTCACTGGGGGGCTGGACCACACACTCCCTACACCTGGCCTGCCGTTAGAGGACGCTGCGGGCTGGCCCCACTTTGGGCTTGCCAAAGAAAGGTTGTCGTAATAGTCCCCGTGAGTAAGGCAGGAGGGATCCTCACAGGAGCCCGGTGGGTGGAGTGCAGGCAGCTCAGTGCTCTCCTGGCTGTCCCTGGAGCCACACTCCTGACTGGCAGGTCTCGGGCCACAGGCATAGGCGCCCTGGGCTGCTCTGGTCCTCTGCTCTGGGGGTGGGTAGAAGGGCTGCACAGGGGCCACTGAGGCGGCTGCCCCAGGTGTGGCTGCAGAGACAGCGAGGGGAGGTTTGGCGGCACCATCTAGGGCCAGCCTGCTACCTACACCAGCGTCCCGGGGGGCCTGCAGGCCCAGGCGGGCCCCACCATTGACGGGGCCCACTGCTCCCCTGGGCAGGGCCTGGTCCTGCAGGAGCTGCTGTTGCTGCTGTTGGAGGTGGATTTTGGCCATCTTGGTGGCAAACACTCGGCGGGTTTCCTCGAACTCAGGCTTGTTGCCTGCACCCTTGTCCACTCGGAAGAGGCCATCCTTGGAGGCCTCGTACATGTTCAGGTCCTCAATGAACTTACTGGCCTCCAGACCCAGGTCGTCGTACTTATCCATGTCGCAGGCTGGTACCCTGGCTTGCTTTGTACGGTGTCCGGTGTGAGCTGAGCGAGGAGAGGCGGAGAAGCGAGAATGGCAGGTAAGATCCTGGGGTTCAAGTCCAGCCCAGGGCAGGTAAAGAGTTCCACCTACCCAGCGTGCGGGTCATGGCCCCGCGCCTTCGAGTCCAGCGGTGTAGGCCTCAGGGCCAGATGGGAAAAAGTTTGCTTCCAAACTCCCCTTTTCCAGCGGCGCATACACGTGGTGTCTCCGCCGTCCGCGGTCTGCCTGGCGGGCGAAGTTTTTTTTCTTTCCTTTCAAATCAAGAAAGGAAACAGTCGCCGGAGGAATCAAAAAAGAAGAAGAAATCACAAGTAACCCAACTCGGAAAACCACAACATGGCAGCGAGCGGCCGCTGGGCAAGGGCCGGCGGCGCC